CGAGGAAGTGAGACTCCAACTCAAAAAAAAAAAAAAAGTCTCATAAATATTCATAGCAGGCCAGATGTGGTGGCTCATGCCTGTAATTCCAGCACTGGGGGAGGCTGAGGTAGGAAGATTGCTTGAGCCCAGGAGTTCCAGACCAGCCTGGGCAGCATAGCCAAACCTCGTCTCTACAACGATATAAAAAATAAAATAGCTAGGTATGGTGGCATGAGTCTGTAGTTTCCAGCTTCTAGGGAGGCTGAGGCAGGAGGATCGCTGAGCCCAGAAGGTCGAGGTTACAGCGAGCCGTGATGGTGCCACTGCACTCCAGCCTGGGTGACAGAGTGACTACAACTCAAAAAATCAAAATCAAAAAAGGGTCGGGGTTCCAGTGAGCCCCTCTCCCCTCTGCAGTGGGGAAACGGAGGCCTCTAAATACACCAAGTCAACATCTGGGGTCTTTTGACTCCCCTTGGCCTGCCTCACAGGCAAGCTGATTATGACCCAGGAACATTTCACAAACCACGTGTATAGGATGGGCACAGGGCGAGTGAGATGCCACCTTCCCCACCCAGCCATCGGGAGCTGCGCCCAGCTGAAGCCCCTGCAAGACACACTGGCATTCTCCAGTCCAGTGTCCCCTGTGTCTGAACATACACTAGGGGAGGCCAAACAGACAACTCCATGCAGACCACCGCCGCAAGGGTGAAACTCACTCCCTCGTCATTTCAACCCACTTTCCGATCACATCAGAGAAAAGCAAAATTCCGCCTCCGGCCAGCCCACAGCCCTGGTCCCGCCGCCCACCAGGCTCGAATCAGTTCAGCCAGCAGGAGCGAGCGTGACGGTGCCATGACCATCCAGTCCAGGCCTGGACAGAAGAGCCTGCCTTGGCAGAGGCCTGGGGCAAGCAGGGCACAGGGCTGGGGTGTGGAGGGCAACCAGGGAATCCAATAACAACAGCAGGTTGGGCAGGAGGAAGGAGGGGCCGTGAGGCCTGTCCCGAGCACCCCTGGGAGCTACACAGCATGGACACCTCACCGGGCGTCGTCTCGCCAGAAGTCACACGACCCAGACCTCACCCACCCCCCCCTTCCCAGATCCAGGCCGCCAACCCTTGATCTCAGATGCCAGACCCTTTGACCAGACCCGCTGGCTAATCCCCAAATGGCGACCTCGGAAAACGGGGTCAGGAATGGACGTTGCGAACTTTTAACATCCCTAGGTGGGCAGAAGGAGCTTGGGTGCTGCTGGGACAAGCCAGGACTGCCATGCCACCGGCGGGAATAACGGCGCATGTCACCCCCAGTACACTGCCACAGGATCCCCGGAGTCCCGCCCCGCTCAGCCCTGGACCAGGCTTGCCCAGCCACGGTCAGGAACGGGGGTGCTCAGGGCCGGCCCTGGTCCACTCACTGCTGAGGAACTGCCCGAACCAGGCTCCTCCCTCACCCTCCAGCCTCCCAGAGTCACCTCTCAGGAATGCGGGATCAGCCAGAGAGGAGAGACGGCAGCTTCCCCGGCAGCTTCCCGGGCGGGCCCCTCCTAGCCGCAGGAATGATGTCAGTGCGCCCTACGCCTCATCACACCCGGCTCGTGCCCCGTGCCCGCCCCAGCCCTCCTCCCTCAGTTTACTCATCCCTCAATCAACACTGCCGGGCAGTTCCCACCCCCACCCAATGCAAACAGGCATGACGGGGAAAGGCCTCCGTGGTCAGGGTGTGCTGGATTCCTCTGAGCACAGGGAGATGAGATGCAGCCCGGCCTCGCCGAACCATCCTGTCCTGCATCCTGTTAACAGGAGGGTTCCACCAGGCTCGGTGGCTCAGCCTGTCATCCCACCACTTTGGGAGGCCGAGGCGAGCAGATTGCCTGAGCCCGCGGGTTTGAGACCAGCCCGGGCAACTTGGCGAGACCTCGTCTCTACAATAAATGAAAAATCAGCCGGGCATGGTAGCACGTGCCTATAGTTCTCACTACTTGGAAGGCTGAGGCGGAAGGATCCCGGAGGCCAGCAGGTCGAGGCTGCAGTGGCCGGGAGCGTGCCACTGCACTCCAGCCTGGGCGACGGAGTGAGACTCCAACTCAAACCCGCCCCCGCCCCAAAAACCAGGAGGGTTTCCTGGAGCGCCAGCTGGACAGCGTGACCACGTAAACTCCAGAGTGCCCTGTAGCCAACTCCTCCTCGCCCAGTCAAGACAGGGAAGACCCCAGGAAGACGTGAGTGACCCTGTGTGGTCCCCCTCTGGGTGGGATTGGGGAGGGCGGTGAGGGCCCCCTGCCACATGACATTGCATCTGACACTTCGTTGAAGCCTTGCGAGAGACAAGCAGTCATCATCCTTACTGTCCAGATGCAAAGGCCACGAGGAACACAGTGGCCCCACTCACTGGGTGGGTCTTCCAGGCCCTCGCCTCACCACCCTGGCCCTGCCCCTTCCCACAGGCCAGTCCTTGGGCCCCAGAGTTTCTGGAAGCCCCAGTCTTGGAGAGAAGCTGGCACAGACCCAGAAAGACAACATTCCTAGGCAAGCCTCTCTCCTGGATACACAGCCCAACCCTGGGGCACAGCCATGAGGCCCTCTCAGCAGCACCCCTGAAAGAGTCAGAGCACAGCCCAAGCCAGGGTGAGAGCCAGTCACTCCTGTGTGAATGACAACCCAAGATAGACACCAACGTGTGCTCTGCCTCTGACAGTCACAGACCCTTCAGAAGGCGGGCACACTACCCCCTGCTTCCTCCTGCCCATTTCTATGGCGCAAGCAGAGAGTCCTAGCATTGGCCTTCTCCGTTAGACCACAGTCACTCAGAGTCGTGGACCATCAGCCTCGGCACTCCACGGGGTACCCCTGCTCCTGCCTGAGCAACTGACCCTCAGACACAGCCGGGGTCTGACACCCACCTCCCAGGAAGGCAGTGAGGAGCACAGACAGCGACGGGACCAGTGCCAGGGGAAGAAACACAGTCAGGCCTCCCACAAGTCACCAGCCGTGCCCGCCTGTCTGCCTGCAGCCAGCGCCTAAGCTCAGAGCCCACAGACCACTTTCTTCTCCACATGTGGGCACAGACCATAGGCCACAGCCACAGCCTAGTCCACAGAGCTGCTCTGCTAAACCCATCGGTTCAGGCTTACCCCAAACCCCAAGCAGCCACATAGAACTAAATATACTTCAAGGCCGGAGGCAGTGGCTCAAGCCTGTCATCCCAGCACTTCGGGAGGCCGAGGTGAGAGGATTGCCTGAGCCCACGGGTTCAAGACCAGCCTGGGCAACTTGGTGAGACCTCGTCTCTACAATAAATCAAAAAAATTAGCCAAGCCTGGTAGCGCACGCCTGTAGTTCCAGCTAGATGGAAGGCTGAGGCGGAAGGATTGCCTGAGCCCAGCGGCTGGACACGGGGGTGGCCATGAGCGTGCCACTGCACTCCAGCCTGGGTGATGGAGACTCCAGCTCAAAAAATAAATAAGTAAATTAAAAAAATAGACTTCAGACCACCGGAGTTTGTTGGGGTTTATCTTTTTAATTTCTTTGTGCTGGTGGTGTAGTTGTGGATTTTTGTTTGTTTGAGTCAGGGTCTCAATCTGTCACCCAGGCTGGAGTGCAGTGGCAGAATCACAGCTCACCACAGCCACCTGGGCTCAGGTGAGCCTTCCACCTCAGTCTCCCAAGCAGCTGAGACTACAGGCATGTGCCACCATGCTCGGTTAATTTACGATTTTTTTTGTAGAGACAAAGTCTCACTATGTTGCCTAGGCTGGTCTCGAACTTCTGGGCTCAAGGAGTCCTCCCTCCTCGGCTCCCAAAGTGCTGGGATTGTAGGCGTGAGCCACTGCGCCCAGCCCGAGGTTTTTTTTCTTTTGAATTTCAAAAGAAAAATATCACAGTGTTAAAAATATTTTGGACCATCCAGTCATCTAAAGAATTAATTCTAACGATGAAGAACACAGACAGTTATCATGGCCAAAACTGGAAATAACTATTTGTCCAACAAGAGAAGAGCGTCCTACCCTGCCATCATTCAAATGATGTTTAGAAAGAGCCTCTCTCCTAAACAATACGGAGAAACGCTTAAAATGCCAGCGGGGAAAACTGGGCACGAAATGTCAGGCACAGCGGCTGCTGTGTTTAAAAATATCCATGCATGGAAATGAATTCAGGAAGAAAGGACGTAGCAATACTGACCACAGGACTGGCTGCTCAGATGGGGGAACCAGTGATTTTTTATTAATTCACATCATTCCTTGTTCATGTTCAAGTAATCTGCTTCCAGAGTAGAGAGAAATCTTTCTTATCGGAAAAAAAAGAACAGATTAAATTACCACCCCTTCACATCACACGGCCACCCACGGAAGCCACTGAGTTTCAAATCCGCCACCCCTGACCCTGTCCCCACACCCAGCTCATCAGACCCAGCTCATGGTCCTGTTGTCTGGGAAGGAGGGGGGTCTCCCTACTAATCCCTGCATCCAGAGGCCAGACAGCATACCTGGCTTGGCCATGATAACTGTCTGTGCTCTTCATCGTTAGAATTAATTCGTTAGATGACTGGATGGTCCAAAATATTTTTAACACTGTGATATTTTTCTTTTGAAATTAAAAAAGAAAAAACCTCTGGCCGGGCGCAGTGGCTCACACCTGTCATCCCAGAGCTTTGGGAGCCGAGGAGGGAGGATTGCTTGAGCCCAGGAGTTCGAGACCAACCTAGGCAACATAGGAGCCTAGGAGCTGGACATCTGGTCACCCTTGGGTCGGGGCAGGTGCCCTGCAGAGAGGAAGAGGGAGAGTGAGAATGAGGTGGACCCTCCAGGGCCGGACCCCAGAGGGTCCTGGCCCCCGGAGAGGACCATCCTTCCCGGCAGCCACGCAACTCATGATCCCGCCGGGCGCCCAGAGCCCCAGCCTCCCAGAGACAAGCGTGTAATTAAATTAATCCCAGGGCTGATGGTCATGAGGTCTGGAGCCACTAGGGAGGGAACATCATTTCCTGGCTTGGCTGCCTGTGGGCAAAATGAGAGAGGTGACCACAGAAGGGACCCCGAGCTGGGCTGGCCAAAGGGTCCCCACAAGTGCTCCCCTGATTCCTCCAGGGGCCCACTAGAATAATGCTGGGGGATTCATGGTCCAGTTGTGTGGGAAGGAGGGTGTCTCCCTACAAATCCTTGCATCCGGGGGCCAGATGGCAGTCTTCACCTCACTCCCCAGGAAGGAGAAGACAGTGCACAGCACACGGGCGCAGAAGTCACAGAGCCTTCGGAGATGCCAGGCCCTCCCCCTGGTGCTGTCTGGTTCCATCCCAGAAGCCTGCACTGGGTCCTGCCCTGACCACAAGGCTACCCAACCTTCCCCGAAGCAGCGAGGCAGAGACCAAGTCCCATCGTCCCTCATGGCCTGGTTTTCTCCCTGGCAAGACGATGTCGCCCCTGGCCTCCCATTGCTGTGTCCAGACTGTAAGAACTGGGGGGGGGGGGGCAGGGGCCATATCCCATTGCCCTGTAGACCCCTCTTCTCCCAGCCCAGCACCCGACACACAAGAGGCCCGAGCAAAACAGGGACAGGGGTCGGACCCGCCCCGAGGGGTCTCTCTGGTCTCAGTCCCAGACAGCAGACCTAGAACTCCCCGTACCAATGGCTGTAATGAGCTCCCCGGGCACCCCTGCACGGGACATGGCACCCTACACTCACAGGGGGAAGACCCCAGACAAGGAATGGCGGAAGCCACAGAGGGCGGGGCGTTGGGGCTCAGGACACGTGCTCCTCAGGTGTGAGCCAGCAGCGCCGGCCACCCTCGCCGTGCGCCCACCTCGCGGGATCTCACATCTCGGGCTGGGCACCCCCGAAGCAGACCCGGAAACAAGAAGAAATGTCCAAATGGACTATTTGGGAAGTGATCCCAGGAAGCCCAGGGAGGGAAGTGGAGAAGGGAGACAGGGCAGGTAAGGGGCATCCATCCCCCCAGAGAACTCTGGGGGCTCGGAGTGGCCCCGACTGCCTTCCCGAGGACCCGCTGGGGGGTACTAATGCCCAGTACTGCCCGCAGGGGAGGGGACGGCAAGAGCTCCAGGCAAGCCGGGCTCGGTGGCTCAGCCTGTCATCTGCGCTTTGGGAGGCTGAGGTGAGTGGATTGCCCGAGCCCGCGGGTTCGAGACCCGCCTGGGCAGTGAGACCTTATCTCTACAATAAATCAACAAATTAGCTGGGCGTGGTAGCGCGCGCCTGTAATTCCAGCTACTCGGAAGGCTGAGGCGGAAGGATCGCCGGAGCCCAGCAGGTTGAGGCTGCGGTGGCCGGGAGCGGCCACCGTACTCCAGTCTGGGCGACAGAGTGAGACTCCAACTCAAAAAAAAAAAATGAGCTCCAGGGGAGCTTGCTGATGCCACAGGTGAGCTACAAGGGAACTCTGAGGGAGTGAGCGCCTCAGGGTCCCGGCAGGGCCCCAGCAGTGTCTGCTGCAGCTCAGGTGAGTGTCTGGTCTGTCTTCTCCCCAAACGAGGAAGCAGAGGCTGGGGGTGACATACACTGACACATGGTGGACACACAAGGGCCTAATGCTCCAGCTCTGCCCCACCCTGGGTCCCCACCAGCCCAGCCTCCCTCGACCTGGCTTCCTAGCCCTTGTCCCTTTCTCTAAGGGCTGGGGCCAGGCCGGTTCACGGCAGGTCATTAGCCGGAGACCTCACCACATCACGCCACGCCCTGGGTTCCTCCGGGGGGCTCACACCCCGTGGCTCTGGGACTGCACGAGACGGTTGACATTTCCACGGCACAGCTTAGGTGATGCATCCCCTCTCCTTCCACTTCATTAAGCAGGGGGGACAGCAGCCTAGGGCGGGTGGTTTGGTGGGGTGGAAGGTCCTTGTTAAACGGAAGCACGCCTCACCCCTCAGGCCCCGACACAAGCAAGGTACAAAGACGCACTGAGCCACACAGGTAAGGCAGGCTGGGGACCACCGGGCGCTGGGCTTTAAGGCCATGCCAGGCCCGGAGGGTCTTGGAGCTGCGTGTTCCTGGCTGTGTCTTACCCCTCTGATGGATGAACACTTTCCGGTTCTCTCCCCTGCAGGTCCGGGACACTCTACTTGTGGGGGTTCACTGAAAAGCATGCCTCACGCCCCATCCTGGGCTGATCTGGAAGAGCCTGGACATGACTTCATCTTCTCAAAGGACTTGGAAGGTACTGCAACTCCAGGTCAGCCTGTTCCCTGGGCTCCGGGGTCCAGGGGTTAAATCCTTGCAGAGTAGAGAGACCCCCTAATCTGGGACCCAAGAGGAGAGTAATCAAGTTCACAACAGGCCAAGCTGCCCATGGGGTGGTGAGCCTCCTAACACCAGGAGAGAGAAAACAGAAGCTGAGGCAGAAGCTTCTGGAACAATAAAGTTTCCCAACATGGTGGTGAGGAGAGCACAGGAAGCTGCTTGTCAACCTCCGTGCCAAATGCGCTCACCCCATGCCCCTAATCCTCGCAGGGACCTGCCAGGTGGGTGGCAGAACCCCACTGCACAGAGGAGAAAAGAGCTGCTCAGAGTGAACAGGTCTGCCCAAGGTCACAAAGCCAGACATTCACAGGCACCACATCCTCGGCCAAGGGCGCTGTCCCCATCCCAGGAAGGCTCCTCGGCCTGACCGAGGGGCTGCAAGAACAGCCACGTCTACAGCAGAGAGCAGTCTAGGGGGGAAGGGAGCCGGGGTGTGCTGGTCAGGAGAAATCAGGGCCTCCTTCCTGAAAGAGGCGGAACTTGAGCTGAGCACTGAAGAGAGAGCAGACCTCTGACAGGCAGGAAGGCAGGTCTGCACTGAGGGCACAGGCTGGGAGGTGGGACAGTGATGGGTACAGGCACACCTGAGCCAGTGACTGCCAGCATGAGGGGCTGTGCCAGTCCCAGCTGCCTCCTGGCAGATATCGCAGCTCTGGGAGCACAGGCTGAATGTGAAACGGGCATTATTTATGGATGAGGGCACAGGCTGAGAGGGCCAGCTCGAGAGGCATCAGGTTCCCACGAGACACCTCTCCACAGTGGCTGTGCGGAGCCAGACAGGCTGGGAGAGCTGGGTACCTCTGCCCCGGTTGCCCAGGGCCCACGGGAGGGTGTGCAGGGCATTGTGGGCCAGGGCAGCCAGCTGCAAGCCCAGCACTGACCTCAGTGCCCGGGGCGTGGGAAAGGGTTCTCACACCCACTCGAGGCATGGAGAACAGAACCATCTTTCCCATCCACGCGTGAATTTTCCTGGCACCTGCCGTGTGCCAGTTCACACCTGTAATCCTCCCCCAGAGCTGATGAGGAGCGTCCTGTTACTGCTGACCCTGTTTTATTAACAAGATGCCTGAGACTCAGAGAGGTTAAGCAGCCCGGGCAAGGCCACACAGTGGACACACTGCAGGGCTGGGATTTGAACCTGGGTCTCTCTACAGCCATGGCTTCCGACCCCGCCTCACAGCTTCTGCACCAGCGCCAGGAGCCCAGCGCGATGACTCTGGGTCTCTCTGAATGCCATCACCATGGTTACCAGGGCTGCTCATTCTAAGCTTGGAACTGTCAAGGAGGTACAGACACTTTCACCCATTCTCCTGACGAAGAGACCAAGGTTCAGAGGGGTCTGGTAACTGCCCAGTCACAGAGCTCATGAAAACAGGGCTGGGGTGGGATTGGCAGTTGAGGGAAACTGCTAGGGGAGGGAGGGGCATACCTCATCAACAAGGGTACCTGCGTGATCAATGTTTGGATACCTAATCTGAATTGTACCCCACATCTTTATAATAATAAAAGAAAAAAAGAAAAGAAAACAGGGCTAAATTTTTTTTTTTTTGAGTTGGAGTCTCACTCTGTCACCCAGGCTGGAGTGCAGTGGCCGCTCCCGGCCACTGCAGCCTCGACCTGCTGGGCTCCGGCGATCCTTCTGCCTCAGCCTTCCGAGTAGCTGGAACTCCAAGCGCACGCTACCATGCCCAGCTAATTTTTTTTTTAATTTATTGTAGAGACGAGGTCTCGCCAAGTTGCCTGGGCTGGTCTCGAACCCGAGGGTTCAGGCAATCCACTCGCCTCGGCCTCCCAAAGAGCTGAGATGACAGGCTGAGCCACCGAGCCCAGCCGAAAACAGGGCTGAAATTTAAAGAGAGAGAGAGAGAGATTGTGTGTGTGTGTGTGTGTGTGTGTGTGTGTCTCCACATCCAAGCCTCTTCTAGTCCACCGAGGCAGTGGGGGTGGGGCCTAGGAGGCTTCCTGAACCCCCTCCCCTCCTAGAGAAGAAATTCTCTCCATGGTGCGTGGGGACTTTCAGCTTCTAACGCAGGCACCAGGGAGCTCTGCTCTGAACTGTTATCCCCAACCCCATTCCTCCTCTGCGACCTCTCCTTCAAGGACACCCCAGACAAGCCCCAGGCTCCAGGTGTAAAAAGCTTTGACGGTTTTCAGTCTGAGCCAAAGACCCAAGGCCCCTGGGCCTCGCCAGGTCACTCGTGTCCCACAGGCTGGCACCAGCCCTCCGGCGATCCACCTCCATGCCTGGAGACACGGGATCACAGAAACGCGAAGTCCCACCTTCACAACTCAGGTGCTAAAACGCAACTACCAGGACCAGAGCCCCGTCCCCCCCATGCCACAATCCCACAGCGGGAACAGAAATCAAAGCTGTCAAGGACACCCTTCCCCGCGGCAAAGAGGAAACGCAATCGACAACACAAATGAGAGCGAGATCTCTTCGCGCTGTCCCTCTGGCACCATCTGTCTCTGCGTGGGCCGAACGTCACTGCCCTGGGCTGGGGAGTCCCACACATCGGCCTGGGCCTGCCTATCCCTGGCTTCGGGGACCTCCCGGCACCGCGGCGTTTAATTCCAGGAAAAGCCACGGGGCTCCCCAGCGGGCACCAGAATCTGGGGCGGGGGGCCGGACAGGAAGCCCCGTTCCCACGCGGCTGGCCTAGACGGTGCCCCACTTTAGATCTGCCCGAAAGCCTCCGGGGCTTTCAAAACAGAACTCAAATTCGTCTCTCCATCCGTCCACTGCTTGGGGAAGCCTGACAAGCCAAAAGAAAATTGTGCGATTGTTCCCAATCGGGGAGCAAAGATGTCCTCCCCTGGGCCGTCAGCCTCGGCATCTGGAAATTAACCTGTGTGTGTTCGGGTGACGGCACTGTAAATGCCCAGCAAGGAGGGGGCTGTGCCCGTCACATGCCCTCACCAACCCCCACCTCACTGGTCATGACTGGGAATTAGTGACAGAGGTGGACTGTGTGCAGAAGTCAGCCCAGGAGGGACTGACAGCTACAGTCTATAACTGTCAGCACTGGGTGACCCAGTGCACGCACCTCGCTCCCTGGAGAGCTTTTAGCATCTGATCCCTTCCCCTGAGACCTGAGACAGACGGATCTAGACTCCGCAGGGGAGGGGCCTGGACAGCCGTAAGCATCTTAAATGCCCTCTGGGTGGTTCCTACATGCGCCCGGGGCCTGGAAACCCCGATCGATGCTGTGCAGTGACTGTTCGCATCACCTGGCTCTCAGCCTACATCCCCGGGGGACCCCAGCCCTCCTGGCCCTGACTATTAATTAGCGGAGCTGAACTCTGAAGCAAATACAAGAGAAGCTTCAGGGATTATGGCGGGACTAATCGTGCAGGACTGCAGTCTGGAGGGAGGAGAAGATAAACAACACATGGTCCAGATGTCGGGGCC